GTATACACCTGTGTATGTGTATTTTTTTATATTTTTTTTTGCAAACATTTCTTTGAATAACATGACCTTAAATATTAACACAAGATTGAATGTAACATAAAATAAATGATTACTTTTCATTAAAAAATCTTTTTTTAATGCCATAAATGCTTACATTTATGGTGTTCACTCGGGCAGCCATGTTGCTGGTGTAGCCGGTGCTGAGATAAGTCTCATACCCCTTCGTTTGAAGTGTGGTCACAAAAAAATCTTCGTTTGAAGGGATGTCTGGCCCTTTCCCCTACCCCTACCCCTCCAACCAAAAGAGAATCAAGACACCTCTACCCCTTCACGTGAATGTGCGAAACAGAGGGGTGGGGTAAGTGCAGGGGTAAGGAGTAGAAATGAGATTGGGCCTTATTTTAAAAGCATTAAAAGAATCTTACAGACCCCCAAATCTTTCAACTATAGCATATATTATAATCATTTTGGTTTACTTTTTCAACTTTAGCAATCATCATTGGACCCTACGGCCAGCCTCTTACAGTGTACCCTTGTATGCTATGTGGGAAGAAGTTCAAGTCGCGTGGTTTCCTCAAGCGCCACACCAAGAATCACCATCAGGATGTCGTAAACCGAAAGAAATACCAGTGCACGGACTGTGATTTCACCACTAACAAAAAAGCCAGTCTCCACAACCACATGGAGATCCACACCCTCAGCAGTAAAGCCCAATTTGAGTGTGAAGTCTGCGGAAAAGAGTTTCACCAGCAGGCGGCGCTGTTCTCCCACCATCTGCAGCACCACCACCGAGAATCCAAGCTTCAGATCCCGCCACCCACCACCAAAATGCACAAATGCAAGTTCTGCGAATACGAGACGGCAGAACAAGGACTTCTAAACCGACACCTTCTCGCCGTTCACAGCAAGAATTTCCCACATATCTGCGTGGAGTGTGGGAAGGGTTTCCGGCATCCTTCAGAGCTGAAAAAACACATGAGAACCCACACCGGCGAAAAACCGTACTCCTGCCTTTACTGTGACTACAAATCAGCCGACTCATCCAACTTAAAGACGCACATTAAGACCAAGCATAGCAAAGAAATGCCCTACAAGTGTGACCGCTGTTTCCAGACATTTGCCGAACCTGACGAGCTGTTACAACACGGACTGACACACGAGGAGGCCAAAACACACCAGTGCACCCACTGTGACCATAAAAGCTCCAATTCCAGTGACCTGAAGCGCCACATCATTTCAGTTCACACCAAAGACTATCCACATAAATGTGAAGTCTGTGGAAAAGGCTTCCACCGGCCATCCGAGCTCAAAAAGCACTCGGCCGCTCATAAGGTGAAGAAGTTACACCAGTGCAGGCATTGCAACTTCAAAATCGCTGATCCGTTTGTTCTCAGTCGGCATATTTTGTCAGCGCACACCAAGGAGCAGCAGGCGTTTCCTGACAAAAGGGGTCTTAAGAAGACGTTTGGACTCTGTGCTCACGGAGGTAAGAAAATTTTGGGCGGTGCCAGTTTGTCCAAGGGCCACCGGGAGCGCCGGGTGTACCAATGCCAGTATTGCGACTACAGCACGGGCGACGCGTCTGGTTTCAAGAGGCACGTGATCTCCATTCACACCAAAGACTATCCTCACCGATGTGACTTCTGCTCGAAAGGCTTCCGCAGACCGTCGGAGAAGAATCAGCACATAATGCGGCATCATAAAGACCTAATGCCTATCATGTGACCTTTGCAATCAGAAACCCATTAGGAAAAGCGCTGTTCTGATGAAGCTGTGGTCTTCAGGGCCGTTGGAAAGCCAACTAGAGGCTTTTTCGGATCCTGATAGTACAGACAGGCTGAAAGTGCAAGAAAATAGAGAGAAAAACAACCATCTAATGTGTCCAGTTGCAATGTTCTGAAGACACATTTTTTAAAGTTTAATTAACCATTCTTGATCAGCTGACCAGCTTTAGATTAATGCGAAAATAGATAAACTTGCATACCAATCCATCAAGGGTGGATGACATACATGCATCTGGTTATAAATTTGAATTATGACTCCTTTATTGCATGTTACACAAAACATGTTTGAACCGCTTTGGTGATTGCTGCGTGTTTGTGCACATGCGTTTTTAAGTACAAACGTTTTGGGATTAGCCTTGAAGACGTCCGTTGTCATTAAACAACGGTGCTAATGCTTTATCGACTAGCTTCAGATGAGCAGAATGTCTAATTAAAGTGAACTGAAAAATGCCATGGCTGCTAAAAATTTGTTTTAATTTTAGGGGGAAAAAATTGCTGTTCAGACCAGATATAGGCTTTTGGGAAACCCATCTTTTATTTTGGTTCTCTGAACAAAATGAATCAACAACATTGGTGCATTAATTTACTAATATCAGCTGTTATGAATTTAATGTAGGACACGGTTTCTTGGTAATATTTCCAATAAAAATCATATTGCAAATAGTACTCAACTCACAAGAGATCTTGAGGTTTAATCGGAGTGTGCAGACATTAAATCAGGCCGAATGGCTGGTTAATCTAAATTTATTTGAATTTAGACACTAGTATGTTTGTGTATTTCTTGAATGTGGTCGTTTGGCTTTTGGTCTGTTTGTTGTAAAACTCGCCCTCGAATTATTATTATTAAGACGTTTAGGGTAAATTTTATTTTTTACACATACTGAAAATGTATAATCTGGAATAAAGAGATTCTAAAAAACTGTTATGTTATGTGTATAGGAAATATTTGTAAATACGTAAGTAATAAACAGTATTTTGTGTCCAAAATGTTTTTTTTTTTTATTATTATATTTTTCATGATGAAACGCAAATGGATAATCTGAATAAATCACACCAGCTTTTGTCATTTGTAAACCAATTTTAATCTTAACAGCAGTAAACAAAACTACCAGAGACAAAAAAATTAAAAAGCACTCTTCATAAAAATTTGTTTTCAGGAATCCGCATATCGTTCATGAAACATGTTTGACACATTTACAGGGAGAAAAAAATCACACGTCAATACAGAAACATCAAAAACTGAGTTCAATTTATAAAAATGCATCATTTGGATAAGGTAATACTTTGCCATTCTGTCCCCTGGCTTGAGAGATTCTTTGGATAAGCTCTGTAGTTGCAAACTGGATTGTCATTGTGAGCACAACAAGGCAAAAAGAAAAACTGATGCTTCCATACAAAAAGAAAGATGAAAACCAAGCAAATTCACATCTGTTTTAGGTGAAATGATCGGACCAACAGAAGTTGTCTTTGTCTTTCGGTTGAGACTCTTAGGCATCTGAGCATTCTCCTGTAGAACAGTAGGTATAAAGTTAGCAAAAATGTAATAATAAGAGACATTGGCAATTGATTAAAATCTTAAAATGTACCATTTGGTGGCAGTATGGCAATGTTTTCCTCAAGGATGCCGGTGTCCATAGAGAACTGCCTGAACTTCTCCTTCAAGTCATCAGAAATTTCTGTGGTACGACCTGTTAAAGACACATTCAGGGTCTGTTTAGCATTTATTCATTAAAACGTTACAGCTAAATTGTGTCTTTTGGACAAATCGAGCTCTTACTGTAGAGTTTGTTGAGAACCTCAGAAACATCTCCCTTGGTCTTGATGGTGTGAACGAGAGCGTACTCATCAAATTTGGCATCAGCCACACGCATGTCATTGTCATTTCCCCAACCTGAAAAAAATCGAGCACATTTAGGCCAAAGGAACAACAATCTGACCATTAGCTGAAGCAAAAGCAGGATGACTTACGCTGGCTGTGGAAGACAAAACGTCCTGGAGTCTTGGTTTTCTTGGCGAGGTGTGTCATTCTCCAGCAGGAACCATCACTTCTGAGAAACAAATGAAGCAATTAAAGTTATTCTTTTGTAATTATGAGAACATGTATCAAAACTCTTCTCTTTGAACACTAAACCTAGTTTGAGCTTACTTCAGATTAGTGTAACTGAGATCAAGGTCTCCGTCCTCGGTAGGCACCAGCATGGCAGTTCCCATCTTCATGTCAGCCTTGTGACTGACAAACCATTTTGCATTTGTAGCAAAGCCAATGAGATACCACTTTCCTCCAACCTGCAAAGAATATAACTATTTTAGACCAACGCTCTTAAAAATAAAGATTTCAAAATGTTTTTTTACAGTGACGCCAAAGAAACAACTTTTTGGTTCCCTAAAGAGCCTTCACTTCTTAAAAGAACGATTTTTTTCTTACTGCTAAGATCATTGTAATAATCTAAAGAACCTTTTTCCACTATGAAGAATGGAAAGATTCCATGGAAGGTTCTTCATGTAACCATTAATTAATTAATGCATTTAGCAGACGCTAAAAGCGACTTACAGTGCATTCAGGCTATACATGTTTTACCAGTATGTGTGTTCCCTGGGAATCGAACCCACGGCCTTTTGCGCTGCTAACGCAATGCTCTACCACAGGAACATTACCATTAATGGCAATAAAGAAGAGAAAACCTAACCTGAGAATATCCCTAAAACTCACTGATAACACACAGATGCTTTAGTATTTTACAGTAAAACTGCAAGGTAAATGCCTGTATATTTTAGTTTTTACCTTTTCCAGGTCGAAGTCAGTCATGGGCAGGACATCAGCAGAAGTGAACGCTGCACAGAGCAGAACGCACAGCATCTTCAAAACAACAGTCGTCATGGCTGTAGAAGTGTAGGTTCTCTCTCAGTATGCAGTTCAGAAGGCAAAGTCGGCTGCGTAGAGGAGACGACAGGCAGCCCCTGTTTTATCCTCAGATTTGAGGCCGCCCCCCCCCAAACCCTCCTTCCTTGAGTCCCTCCCACCTCCGAAGACACAGCAGGAATGATAATTACAGTCGTTACACAACATGCACGTTTGGATTTTTCCAGGTATATGTGGGTGTCTGAAGCTTTTTTTTATACTAATGTCCCTGTTTGGCTTTCATGCAATACATGTTTCTTATTGCTCATCCATGCTGACCAAAATGCTGTGAAATATTATGATTGAAAACAACTGTTTTCTATTTTAATGTACTTTCAAATGTCATTTATTCTTGTGATGGCAAAGCTGAATTTTCTCCAGTCTTCAGTGTCACATGATCCTTCAGAAATCATTCTAATATGCTGATTTGCTGTTATTATTATCAAAGTTGAACTCAAGTTTAGTGTAAACCATTTTTCAGGAGTCCTTGATGAATAGAAAGTTCAAAAGAACAGCATTCATTCGAAACAGAAATGTTTTGTAGCATTATAAATGTCTTTACTGTCACTTTTGATCAATTTAAAGCAGCACTATGTAACTTTTGGCGCTCTAGCGGCTAATAAACAGAACTGCACACATCCCGCGGAAGAACATTCCAACCGGAGCTACTTCTCTAAGTTTATGTCTATGGCGATTCACGCAGGTATGTGTTACTCCGCGGCGGTGACGACCCGACCAGGCTACAATAGTCCAAATATAAGTACTTATTATAAGTGTACTGTAGTGATTCGGAATAAGACAAAAATGCGGTTTGGAAGATGAATTCATGATGTACTCGCTCATTATATACATTTTGCAAATTTTGAACACAGAAAAAGTTACATAGTGCTGCTTTAAAGCATGCTTGATGAATAAAACTATTTTAAAAAATCTTACTGACCCCAAACTTTTGAATGGTATCGTGTAGATTGGAGATGATGATAAGTCCAATAGACTAAAGAAAAGTGTTTTTAATTAAATGTAGGCTAATGCAAAATACCAAAATGCATTTTATTGCCAAATCAAGCTCTTGTGCAGCCTTTTGGGTGACTGTGACCGTTGCAGCAAAAAGCAATTTTGAGTTAAAACTAGTTCATTTCTGTGTTAGATGTTTTTCCATAAGAAAATGATTACCGTAGGATATTTTTTGGAATGTTGGATATGAAACATGCTTACCCCTTGTGTTGTGTAACTCTGAAAGGGTGGACAGGCAGAGTCTTGTTTTGAGAGTTATATCACAAACCACACTAACTTCATCAAAATGCCTTTGCCTTGTTTTATAAGTAGGCCTACCTTTTTGTTATATCTAAAATCACCAATTTTGATACTTATTAGCAAGGATGCAACCCAAATAAAGATTGGGGGATGCACTTTACTCAATATCTACTGGTTTTTATTAGGCTATATTGAATGCTATAGTTCCTGATCAAACAAACAAAAAAATCTCATTTTAAAACACACAAAACCTTAAAATGACAAAACAGCTTTATTGGTGCAATTCTTAGCACAACGCTTTCTCACAGTGCTCACAAGATGATGGCCAGTCAGTCTTAGGTTAGATCTGGTGGACAAAGCAATGATTGTGTTGTGTTAGGTTGTTAGGCAAAAATAGGGATTATACAAAAGTATACAGTTTCATTGTGTTACAAAACCTAATTTAAGTTACGCAAGTTTTGCAACACATGCCTTTAAAACAGAAAACGTGATTCTAACAAAAGCAGGAGATGCACAAATAGGCCGGATTGGGTCTTTTTGTAGGATGAAACAAAATCTTTCAGCCAATCAGTAGCTAAATGTTGCCTAACACCAAGCAACGCCACAGAGCAGTCGAGAAATCCAATTCTTTTAGCGAATCGGTTCGTTTAAATCATTCACATTAATCAGTTCGCAGAACTCCTCGCGCGGGATTTTACGTGTTATTGCACGGAGTGAAATAAATAATCAGTTGAACATTTTATGAATCTGTATTCGAATACTTTTTATGTTGTGTCAGTGATTTCCATTAGTTACTGACGAGTATTAAAATAAGCTCTGCGAATCGGTTCATTTGAATCATTAAAAAGAACCGTTACAAAATAACGACTCGTGCGCCAATATGACATTAGAATCAGCTGTGCCTGTGCGATGTTTAGAATGTTATTAAATTACTTAACAATATACATGTCGTTCTGTAAATGCCAGTTAATTAAACAGTAAGCCAATGTAAAAAAAACAAAAACAATTGTAACCAGCTCTTACCCAGGACCTTATCTGTGGACTCGCAGAACCCTGGAAAAGAGTCTCGAGTTAAAAAAAAAAAAAAAAAAAGTGTTTCAGCTGTTTTATTATAATTTGTACATTGTCTCACCATAGTCAGGATACTGGAAAATGACGTCCAATCCCAAATTAAATGTCTTTGCACGATCCTCAAATTTATCCACTATATTATCAGGCACTTCACTGGAACGTCCTTTCAAACGAAATAAATTTTGATTAAAACAGTGCTCTTTTCCACAGTGGTGCAATTGTGACACTAAAGAATGGGTTTGAGAAGTTTAAAATAGAGGCTAGAACACCTACCATACAGTTTCATGGTAATTTTCCCTGCTCTTTTAAAAACCACCGTAGCATAGGAGCTGCAGTCTGTCTCAAGTACCATTATGTCCACATTCTCAGCAGGTCTCTTACCTGCATAAAGAATTTGACATTATTGAATGCCAATCAATCAATCAATACCTACCAAGAGGAATTTATGTTTAAGAATATGTTTTAAATTATAAACAATAAAATACAATTATAAATTTAAAAAAAAATAAAACGTCATATTTGGACACTTTATGGTTGTCAAACTTAGTGGAACTCTCTTACGACACCTGAGTGAACCTGATGGCTATGACAATAAAAATGTTATCTATAAAGCATCATTTATAGCATTATAGCATAATTTGCAAACATGTTGTTGTAAATGCAATAATATACATACTCTAAGTGTGTCTAAAGTGTTCAAATACATGCTGGATCAAATGTATTTGTCCACAGAAACACTTTATTTTAGTGTCTTTCAAATAAATGTTAGATGCACTTTAGTAATAGCAGTTCTATCATGATAACTCTCTGAAGATTTTAGCATGGTAATGGATATGACAATGTTCATGCATTTTGGTCTAATGAAATCAAAGTCTAGGAACTCTCACAAAACAATAAAACTAATCTGGAGAAGAGATCTCCAAAAAGATCAAATGACAACACCATGTCCAAACCTCTCTCCTTGCTCATTGCCCTCTCACTTTCCCCTCTAAATTGGAACTGAAGTTAATTGGATTCTCATTGTTTATTTATAAAACTGGCATGATACATTTTTACCTGACAAATAAAATTTTATATTTGATTTATTCCGAACTCTTCTGAAATCATTATGACTAGTAGATTAAGTGAAGTCTGGTATTACCGCAAATCTGCGTCCAGGATTGGTCAAACTGAAGGCCCAAAGAATCAAGCATGTGGCACATCATGTGGGACCTTTTGATTTCTGTCTATGAGTGACTTAGCAAGTTGCAGCTGCGTGACTAAGGAAAATATACTTTTTGTATGAGTGAGCAAGTGGCAACCGACTTAAAGGTATTAATTCACTCTGCATCCTCTAACTAACTCAGAACTGGCGAGTTTGTGATCGAGAGACCCGCGCTGGCCACGCAAGGCCCTAAGTGACACTGGGGCCCTAATGAACGAATAATTGAAAGAATGGGATGTCCAGATTAATCAAATACAGAGACTAAAATTGAAACTAAATCCTGATAAATTAAGTGAACTTCGCAGAAGCGCAAGTAAAAGACCTACACACATTATATATTCGCATATATAGTAGCATATAATAACCCATAGCAGATCTATACAGGTGGAGCTGGGGAAGGTGGAAGGTTTCAGAGGAACTCTGAAAGCGTGCTGCCAAGTGCTCTAGTGAATGCTAACCTGCCATTTAAATGTAAAGCAGTAAGCTCATTGGCTGCGTATACAACATGAACCAATCAGCTTGTGCCAAGTAGTTTCATGCTGTGAATATCATCAGTTTCCATTAACTACCCATCGGCCTGCTATTCTAGAGTTTCATGAAAGAACTTGGCATTACAATTTTTACATAATTATCTAACATTAAACCAAACCCTAACCATATCCCTATAGTAGTAAGGCACGGCTAGCTGTGCATTAAACAATTTCAATGCACAACGTGGAGGCTTAGAACCACCCGACATGAAGCGGTCGTTCATTATCCCACTTATACCATGGTCATTTGCCAGCATTGACAAATTAAAGCTGTTAATGATGTTTGGAGTGCAATATTTTACCAGACGGGTAAAAATGACAGTTACGAATTGTTAGCGCTAGCATTCTGTCCGTTTCAAATCAGACACAGAGATGAAATAGTGCGGTAAGATCACATTTATTTGAATGAATTATAGCAGTTATTTGAATTAATTAATTGATCGACAGAGAGAGAGTGAGAGTGAGAGAGATGACAGTATTGTGTGCATTACTGCACGTCTCTCTACAAACAATTAAGCTGTTTAGTTACTTCAAAAACAGCGATTTTACCAGGCAGGAATATAATGTAGCGATCTACTATCTAAGCTATTTTATTAATAAAAGTCGTGGGGCAGCATTGACAACAAATTTCTGTGTGTGTTCAGTGCAATCTGTGCAATCTGTGTGTGTGTGTGTGTGTGTGCGCATGTGATGTTTGTGGGTTTGTGTGCATCAATTAAAGCAGTGCATTAATATAGAACATTGATTAAACTAACTTGGAACTACTTGTGCATTAAACAGTTTTAATGCATACATGCTAGCCAATCAGAACCGAGTATTCAGACAGGCCATGGTATAATTAATATTACTGAGTACTTTTTTTCGTTTTTCAAAATGTGATTTTTTTTTTTTTTTTAAGTCTTTAAAATCACTTGTGAAGATTATGAAATCTATTTCATCTATTGCATATCGATTGTCAGTCCAGGTCAGGGAGCATTTCACAACAAAGAAGAGCCATCAATTTAGATAGTGGTATGAATGACTTTGAACCCTTGTCTGTTGGTCAGTTCAGTCGGCACCAGATACCTACCTTTGAGAAACAGCTGGCCAGAGGTCTTTGTTCTCATGTAGTTCTGCTTGATTTCCCAGCATTCAAAATTGCTAACATTGGGAAAAAGCACAATGGATAAGTAGACAAGACGAAAAAAAAAATATTATATATATAATTTACATTTCTTAGTGATTTAAATATAAGGGAAAATGTCCATGTAAAAATTATTTTGACAAAGCAAGCTGTATCTTGCCCATCCAATGCTTTTGCTTATGAAAGTCTATACAAGTTGCCAAAGGGGACTTTCTTAAAGTTGCATAAGAAATCATGGTCTCACAATATGGTACTATCATCATATTTCATAAAAATTAGAAGCATTTATTGCTTAGTATTTATTGCCTGATGAACTTGTAATGCCTCAAAAAAGATCTTGATCTTGTTAAGGCAAGACACTGCAGGAAAAAAAATGCTTTTTTTCCATGTAGATTTTGGGCTTTTGCAGTTTTCATAAAGTGCTTTTTCTTCTCAGAATAGTGGAATTAAGAAAACATCCAAACTACACTTTTAAGTGTTTCTTTTATTGCACTTTATCTGTTTGTGTCTGTAGATTTCAATTACAATACATATCTTTAAAGACCATTTTCTTATTTTTCTACTAAACTGAGCCAATCTCCACTTCAGTAGCACTTACACCAAACATTACAGTTTTATTCCTATCTTTAATCTGAAGATTTTTACAGAGGGGTTGTTTGTATGTTTTGTTTGATTTTAAGATGAAGAGCTTGAAAAGAGTCCGCACATTCAAACATTAAAGCATCACAAGCGAGATGAGAACGATATATGCAATTTACTGAATAAAACAAGGCAAACGTTTCGGTCACATGTTGACCATTTTCAATGCCAAGCTAACAGTGTTAGAACTAGAAGAAGGCGCGGTGAGTCTCTGGCTGCTTCTCTGATACTTTGTTTGATTTTAAACAACATTTAATTCCTAAAAAATGGTGAACATTTGTTTTTTTCTGGCTGTTGACAGAATTTTCAGATTTAAAGAGCGATAAAAAGAGATATCCGAAATCCCCTCCCCTCGAAAAACTTATCTTATTCACTTGGGTCTTCCTGCCCTCTCATAACCAAAAGTAATTAAACGGGTCATATGATGCGATTTCAAGTTTCTTTCTCTTTGGAGTATTACAAGCTGATTGTGCATAGATAAGATCCCTGAAGTTGCAAAGACTAAAGTCTCAAAATCCCCTCCCCTCAAAAAACTTCGACTCATTAAAAAGTCTGTCAGTAAAATGAAAAGAATTTTAAACCTGTCTTTATCGAATGTTCCGATTTTTTGCTCTAGAATTGTATGCAATTTAGTGCATATTTAATTAGATAATACCTCATTTATATATGTAAACATAAGATACCAGAAAAATTGTAAGCTAATACAAAAAAGGCCAGTCGGATCTGGACCATCATCAAAGACGTGTCCAAGATGGGCATCACACTATAAAATAAAATGACATGTTAATGGTATCTGGCAACCTGAAAAGAAGAGTGGAAATTTTACTATTTACATTGTATGTTAGCAAACAGCACAAAGTAGGGTTTCCGAAAAAGCCAACAAAATGATTAAACCGGCTGACATCATTGTCCTGCACTAAAGAGAAAGGAAAACTTGAAATCGCATCATATGACCCCTTTAACTTACCACCTCTGTGCCTTTTTCTCTTGTAACAACATACTGTTCTGGAGTCAGCTTCCTCTGCCAATCTGTGGACTGGTCATAACGTGTCAGTGACTGCAAACCTGTATAAACAGCCATAAACGCAATACATTTTTTGTTCCAACACATACGTCTTAATAATGGATAATATACTAATCTCACAATTTGTAAAGAATTGTTACAAATAAAAATCCAAGTGTTTTTTCCTTATAACCTTTCCCTAATGAAAATGTTTCAAACAAAAATGTTTTGAGAATTGTTTTAATTAGTTAGTAGAAATTTTACATTCTATCATATTTGTCTTCTAAAATACCAAAGTTAGGTCTTTAATGACATAATTCTCTAGGCAGTGCAATCCTTTCTGTTGAGAAAACAACATCAACACAAACATGAATTTGATGAGATTTCTGAGATATTTTGTGGTATTAGTCAAAAAATCGAATAAATCAGTGTTATGGGCTACTATCTAATTAGTTAAATTATACTATTATATCTAAAATTATATATATTGTGCATTTCTTTTTGATTTTGAGTAATTTCCTGCGTCAGTGCTGAGATTATTATTATTTTTATTTTTTTTACTTAGGCCTATTTATTTGAACATGCATCACAGAAACTTTTGCAGGCCTTTCTCAAAAGCCAACACTGTGTTTGAGTAATCAGGTCACACATGTTCTGAGCTACATGACTAGAATAACTGCACTTTGCACCGACTTACTAGATAACGAAATGGAATTGCACAAAATTTAAATTGCACAAAATACAATAATTACAATAGAAAGCATATCCTGAGGTACTTCATTTGTGAACACAATATAGATCGAGGATAAAAATCCCTACCCATTGATGTAGACACCAGCCGAATCACTACAAATATCCTCTTCTGAGGTAAAATTGATTTGACAGTCGCTCCGTTGGTAACGATAGAGGAGAAGCGAATTAGAAAACGCGACATTTTTCTCGACATATGATTTCATCCAGTGGCCTGACTTTCTCCACTATTAGTTCACATAAGCTACCCCAAAAGACTGAAAAGAAGCTGAATTGAGCTCAGTGGTCTGCATTCCCCCCTCACAGCTCGAGCAGCGGAAACCGGTCACAATTCAGACTTTATGGGTCACGGTCGACTGGCTGAAACTGATCAATCTTTGCACCTCTTGTCAATGGACTAACCGCATCATACACGTCGAAGTTTATAAAAATTTGATTTTTGGGTTCCTTGTTTTCTGTCTTATCGGAATGTTTTCGCTCTTATCATATTTCATCGCAGACTTTGACCTTCATGTGGGAGAGAAACGTGTACCGCCTTCTACAACCGGTTATTACAATCAGAGATAATGCAATGTAACTAAGATTTGACCAGAATTCACATAATTTTGATAATACTTTATTAGAATTAAATTCATTTCACTTTGACAGCGTAGGCTATAATAAACAAAATAGAAAATGATGCATTAACCAGCTGACCCCGACACCAAAATTAATTTCAAAAACAAATATTAAATAAATCTGAACTGTGTGTGTGTGTGTGTGTGTGTGTAAACATAATACCAACATAATATTGCTATTAAATGGTGTGATATGCTAGAGCTGCTGGTGAGTTGCTTTTCATGAGGTTTCCAGGTTGATGCATGAGATCTATGATATAACATTCAGGCTGAGAGTAACCATAAGTTTTCTTTGGACTGGTAATGAAGATTTCGTTCCAGGCACGGTTGTATTCTCCTCTTATGAGACTGCAGCTCAGCCCAATTCGGTCTGCAAGAACCTAAAATGGATTGCAATTAATCTGTTACACACAATTGGGCAGAAATATCTGTTGCAACTGAAGCCATAACCACACTTCTCACCAAATATTCACATTAGTGGTTTATTTTGTCTTTTCAATATGTGATTCTTATTGCTGAATATGTGGTTACATCCTTGGTTGCACAAAGTCACTGTCAGACCATTTTTATAGACCGTCAAGAAGAGAGAGGGTTCTGCCAATAGCACAGGACCTCTGGAGCACATAAGGATGCATAAATTACCTTGTAAAGCAATGCTCTATGAAAGTAGGTGCCCTTTTTTATTTTTCCAATGAGAACGATGTTGGAACAGGCTTCGAATTTCAGCTCGCTTATATGCAGTTCCCACAGAAAGTCATGTAGCTTTTCTGGCTCAACCTGGCCGCCCATTGCATCACACACTAACCTGTGAAAAAATCACATTACTTGTCATATTTCAGCCATGTGGATGTTGAATATGGGATGACAATGAGAAAAAACTCACATGGCCAAAGCCGTATACATTTTGACCACATCCTGAAGTGGCGTGATGGATTCGACTGCCTCTTTGACAAGATTATGAAATGCAGCGTCATATGGCAAGCTCCATGCTTCCTCCACCACCATCTCTGGCTGTGGCTTATACTCATCCTCATCCTTCCTTTTCTCATCCTCTTTGTTACCCTTTCCCTTCATTTTACTTTAGAAAGAGAGATGAGAGTGAGAAAGATGGTTTACCGAAAGTAAAAACAACTCACGCACACACACCTTGGTGTTTTGCTGCTCCTTTTGCTGCTCAAAACAGATGAGGCAGTAGTTTCTGTTGGACTATCTTGCTTACAATCATCTGGTTCCTTGGTAATAAATCTGATAGAAGAATGAGTCATTTTTTAACCTTAAATGAACAGTTCATCCAATAATGAAAATTTCCTGAAAATTTACTTCACCCTCAGACCATCCAAGATGCAGACGAGTGTGTTTATTCATCGGATAATATTTGGAGAAATTTTGCATTACATCACTTTCTCACCAATGGATCCTCTGCAGTGAATGTTTGCCGTAAGAGTTCAAACACAGTCCAAATCCCAATAATCCACAAGTAATTAACTTAATCCACTATAGCCGCATGTTTGTAATAAACCAATTCTTCATTAAAATATTTTAAGACTAAAGTTGCATCTGAATCATGAAAGAAATATGCACAGATCAAGCACTATTCACAAGCGAAAACAGTGCAAAACAGTTCTAAACAAATATGTTGGTGGATTTTGCTGTGAGAGGACAAAATGGGATGGACTTTTTACTGGAGGAAGCATTATTATGGATTATGGATTGGTATTTTGGCCAGAAGCGACAGTTTAAAGTTAAAAAGCCTTAAGGATGGATTTGTTCCTTACAAACACACAGTTTTCACAAGGCACTAACTGGTGGATTCTTGTGGAATATTGTGATGGTTTTATTAGATGTTTGGACTCTCATTCTGATGGCGCCCATTCACTGCAGAGGATCCACTATGAGCAAGTCATATAATGCTATATATATCTCCAAATTTGTTCCGGTGATGAAAAAAATCTCATCTACATCTTGGATAGCCTGAGGGTGAGTACATTTTCATCAAATTTTCATTTTTGGGTGGACTATGCCTTTAACATTCACTATGCAAAACCATCACAACATTTCCTAGAGCTGTGGATCAAATGACCTTTGTGCTCACTTGGCATTTGACAATGGTAGAACTGAATCCACAAACCCTAAGATTAGTGCATCAGAACAAACACAAAAACAAACATTTAAAGCGGTCAAGTAATGTTCTGTTTGTAATTTAGAATCTTCAGATGTAATTAACTTGAACTGAGCATAAATTGTGTTGCTTGGGCCTCAATGGCAGAATTCCCATTTCTCCTGTGGGATCTCTGGGCCAGATTTTTGCATGCATCTAGCCAATGCATGCAAAAGAATTTCCCCTGGGGAATTTCATCTATCTACATCTATTTGTTGTGCAACAGAGGTATTTAATATTCAAGTGTGCTGCTGTAGAACTAATGGTGTGGAAGAGGGCGGGCTCTGAAAGTCTTTATTCTCCACAAAGAGCTTGTTTTCTCTCTGATTTGAAAAGAGATCTAAATACTAGTGAAAAAGACGTTTAGCGTACATTTGATTAAATGTGCCCCTAAAATGACTATGAATGCACTAAATCAGTGAGGAAATTATTATTTGTGGAGCTGTTTGATACAATGTTTGAGCAAGATTCATGAAACAGCAGGTTTGGATTGCCAAAGCATGACCCTTGGCCTTAACATACTGATCCAGGGGTTTCCCATTCACTGCTATAGTGGCTCGATGTTTGTTGACAACTTGTTTTGATATTTCCTCCAAGGTAGGAACCTGATGACCCATTCTTATCTGCAGAAGGAAGAAGAGAAAGCAAGAGAAAAGAGAGATTGACTGATGCATGCAACCTCTGCGAGTGAGGATTTATTTTGGCTCTTGAAAAACATTCACATTTGGACCTGTCCAGGGTCGTAGAAGCCATCTGTAGTTATATCGCTGGCTGACAGGTGTCCTGTCAGACTATACTTCAATGACATATTACTGTCCAGAAGCTTCTGTAGTGCCAGCTCACTAAATTTGTTGTTACGGTTTGGTGACAGGTTGATTTCCTGGAGTATCTCCAGAGCTCTGTAAGATTGATGACAACAAATCTAAATGACTGAACAATCAATAAAGAGACCCTTAACCAGCCAAAACATCTGAAAGAGTGAATCTCTCAAAACTAGAATCTCTCAGGAGCATGTCCTGGTCTTATTTCACCCCCAAATCAAAAGAAATACATTTAAAAAAAAACTATTATAGCACCATTAGGATTTCATTAGTAGTAGTATTGCTTTGTGTCATTATTTTTATAAAAAATAATAACAGTTCATCGCCTGATTCTGATATAATGTAGTGAAAAAATACATATTATTAAATACATAGACATACATGTTATACATATTGTTATTTCATAGTGTTTGTTGGTTTGACGCTGATTTATATAAAAAAATATTTAAATGTATTTAAATTTAATTAAATACAAAAATACTGTGATTAGAATATAATGGAAATGGCTACTAATAATGTGATTTATATAAAATGTCCATATGCAGTACAGGAATGAAAAGTTTGGAGGAAAACGTGTATAATTGTCATAGAAAATAATCACAAATGTAAAATCTAGTCCTAAAATAGGCTTCATTCTCATCTAGAAATCTGATACTTGGGATTTACTGCCATCTATTGGTTTTTACTTTAACAGTTAATTCTACAAATGTGGCAAACATCTCAAGCCTACATGTTTATTTTTATTTATTTTTTATTAATTTCTATTTATTTATTTATTTTCCCTAAATCCAAGGCTCATGGAAACTTGCCTTATATATTATGTTCATATGTAGACTTAGAAATGTGAATTTTAGTGTGGGAAATTTTGTGTATTAAAGCATAAAACATGCTTACCCGGCATTACACAATTCTAGGGCTGTTATTTCATCGTTTGCACACACACTAATTGCCCAGGAAGCATTTCTCCGAATTTCAGCATTGATAGATTTGAGCAGTTGAACTAAAGGTGACAGGCCTCCAACATTTCTCAGCTGCATGTAAAAACAAACAATTACCAGAAACTGCACATAATGTAAAGTACAAAAATATCCATTTACGTCCTTCACACCCACTGACACAGAAAAAAAGTTTGTTTTTCCTACACTCAGTTTGCTGATAAGCTGTGGCGATTGTATAGACCTGTGAAATTAGCTCTTTTGTGCAGTGCACTGTTACCTCCATCCTGGCCTCTGCATCACAGGCCAGTGAAGCCACAGCCTGCGTTGCACTGATGAGTATGTTATTGTCAGTGGAGTGTAGCAGCTCCACCAATGCTGGCATAGCTTCATGGGCCAGAATGCTTCTGCGCAGCTCCTCCTGCGATGCCATGTTTGTCAAGACTGATGCCGCATACACAGCTGCTCCCGTGCAGCTGTCTCGCAGCTGTTGCACCAAGAGCTTGTCACCCTCTGCATCATGTATAGCACTGAAAAATTGATAAAGAAAGGTGCATTTCTATGGAGCTGTGCAATACTGTACTGACTATATAATCTTGTTGCATTTTGAAATTATGACTCACTAAGCATTGAGATTGTTGTCGTTGGTCAAGCCGGACAGGGCCTCTGCTGCAGCCATTCTCAACTCACTTCCTTCACTGTTCAGCAGCTGCACGATGGGCTTAATCGCATCTGAAATGCACAGACACATCAGCGCTTCAATGACACAAAAGGACAAGAGTGATCATTTTGACAAAACTAAAGTCAGAATGAATTAAAAAGGGAAATAAAAACAAGCCCGGATGCTTGATGTCAGTGAGATTACCCAGACTTCTGAACGTATCTCTGCTGGAAAGGTTTTTGCTCACTGTTGCCACAGCCTGGCATGCAGCAGTGCGTACACTCTCATTCTCCTGCATGAGAAGGTCAGTGAGGGTCTTTTCTACATTCCGTTCATGAAGAATTTTTCTGTTCTCACCTTTATGGAGAGAAAAAACACAATATACAATTTGGATTGTTATACAATTGTATTGTAAAAGAAAATCCTGTTCTGTCTATTGCTTTATATCAGTGTCTACCAGTATACACTATTAGACAAAATGTGCAAAAATTGTTCCTTTTGCATGTCACTGGGGACGTACACCTCAAAGCTACACCTGTATGTACCCTCTAAACACTAATTTGTCCTCCTAAGGTTCTGATATGCACCCATAAAGTACTAATATGTACCTGTAAATACAAATACAGCATGTACCCTTCAAGTAGTAATATGTCCTATTAAGGTACTAAAATGTCCCTGTAAATACAACCTTGAAGTACTAATATGTCCTATTAAGGTACTAATACACGCTTAAAGTATTAATATGTGCCAAATACAAATATACAACCTTAAGGCACTAATATGCACACTTGAAGTTCTAAAATGTCCTCCTACAGTACTAATATGCACCATTCAAGTATTAATATGTACCTGTAATACAAATATACACCATTAAAGTATTAATATGTCCTCTAAAGAAACTAATAAGCAACCTTAAAGTACAAATATGCCCCCTTTAAAGTAGTAATTTGTCCTCTTTTCCTACTAATATGCTGCCTTAAAGTACTCATATGTACCTGTTACATACAAATATGTACACTTGAAGTTGTAATATGTCCTCTTAAGGCACTAATATGCTACCTTAAAGTACAAATATGCATGGTAATGCACCCTTAAAATATTACTAATATATCCTCTTGAGGTGCTAATATGTATGTTAGTAATATGTCTTCTTAAGAACTAACATGCAACTTTACAGTACAAACATGTACTAATGTGTGCTAATATGTCCTCCTAAGGTATTAATATGCATATTTATGCTACTAACGACCACCCTTAAAGTACTAATGCGCTCTCACTAAAGTACAAATATGCAATTTGGCCAAAAATGAAAATTATGTCAACATTTGCTCACCCACATGTTGTTCCACACTTGTCTCACGAGTAAAACACACATAATACCTTCTTCTATGTTCCACAATCAAAGTTTTCAATTAACATGAGGGTGAGTAAATAATGACAGAATTTAGATTTTTCTACGCCTTTAAGGTCCAAAAAAAAACATTGTACATGAAGTACAAAGATGTACCTTTGTGTGACAAGCTGTTTCTGTACATTTTGTCTGATAGTGTATAGAGTACAAACTCATTTGTCAAAAAAGAACAGAGAACTGAGGCTTTTTTTCCATACCGCTCTGTGCCATCCTGGCTATGGCTTTAACTGCATTAGCCTGTGCTTCAGGCAGTGTGGATGTGCCAACAAACTGCAGTAGCTGTTCCAGACCACCCATCATCTGAATAAGCTGCATGGACTGGCTGTCTTCCAGACAGTTCGAGATAACCTTGAGAGTCCCCTCGTGCAGGTCACTAAACTCCTGTAGGGAGGAGACACAGCTGCCATTACTGCTCAATCATGTGTTGCTTGATTTTCATTGAATTGCTTGAATTGTTCTCAACTTTTATATAGAAAGTTTGATTGCTCATAATAAAGGTGACTAAGAAGCAGTTTCAAAAAGTGCTCATGAATAATTCAGATGAGAATAATTAGTCTACTTTGGTCCCGAGGATCTCCAGGATTCTGTCAAAGCCCTGTACATTCCTAAAGGCCACGCGGGTTTCACTGTCAGTGGTGATGTTCTCTATGGTGCGCAGTGCGAGCTGCTGAATAACTGGGAACTCTGAGCGTAGCAGTTCCAGAAGCGGGGGGAGTCCATTTAGTTGCTGCACAGCCGCTCGATTCTGAAAATCCTGAGTGTGCACAAAGAAGAAAAGAGCACAAATAATTGATTTTAACTGCATCCTTCTGCTATTCAAAGAGTTATGCTTTTAAAGCCGATCGAATATCTATGGCATTGTTCAAAATACTAATCATTTCAAATTCAATTTTCATCTAACAATTGTGTTTTGTTAGTGCTGTAAAATACCACCCTGACCGATGACTTTTAGTCTAATTCACAACAGACCTTCTGTCTGACTCGGACATCTGTTGTCTTACTTGTACAAGATTAAAGATGCACTCCACTGAATTTTTCTTCACATCAGGATCCGGGCTGGACAAGAGCTGAATAAGAGGTTCAAGCCCTTTGTGCTCAAGAATCTGGACCTTGTAGCAAAAGTCCACTGACAATGATGTCAAACACAAAGTGGCAAACTCGTGGACCACAACATTCTCTGAGGAAAAGAAAGTGGCAGGTAAGGTTTGTGCAAAAGAAATAAAAAAAATAATAATTATATATGTAAACATAAAAATTATATTTAAAAAATATATATATGTGTGTGTGTGTGGGGGGGGGTCAGTAAGATTTTTAATGTTTTTTAATGCTTATCAAGGCTGCCTTTATTTGATCAAAAATACAGTGAAAGCAGAAATATTGTAAAATATTATTACAATTAAAAAAAAGGTTTTCTGTTTAATGTACTTTAAAATATATTGTATTCCCTTGGTGGCAAAGCTGAATTTTCTTTATCACTGAATTTTCATTACTGCAGTCTTTAGTGTCACATGATCCTTATAGATTTTTTTATGAATGTTGAGAACAGCTGTGCTGCTTAATTTTTTTTTTTTTTTGGAACCTTTGATATTTGTTCGGGATTCTTTGATGAATAAAAAGATTTTAAAAAGAACAGCATTTATTCAAAATATACTTTTTTTGTAACAATATACACTAATGTTCAAAAGTTTGTAGTCAGTACTTTTTTGTTCTTTTTTAAAAAGAAATTAATACTGTTATTCAGCAAGGATATGTCAAATTAATAAAAAGTGACAGTAAAGACTTACGGTTACAAAATATTTCTCTCTCTCTCTATCTATATATGTGTGGGTGTGGGTGTGTACTAAAATTGAAAATGAAATTATAAAATGTGTCATTACCCTCAGGTGATAGCTTGCTGATGACTGCAGGTATTACATCCAGCTTCTTCAAACACTTTTTAACTTCATCTGTTTAAATATGACAGCTAAAATGAAAACTATGTTGCCGAACATCCTTTGATTTACTAGCAGTGCCTATTTTTATACCCTACTTACTGTTAGAAGCCATGATGCCCAGAGCCATGACAGCATTCCTGCGCACAGTCTTGTCCTCGTGAGATATGAGACGAGAAAGAGGTTCAATCGCTCCCAAGCACATCAAAGAAGTCTTATTCTCATCACCTAAAAATATCAACACAACAGCAAAACACACAGGGATCGATCAAGGAGAGCCACACATGGGAATATAGTGAGCACTTACCTCTGCAAAATTCTCAGTGACCTTAAGATGATGACTATAAGATTAGATGAGTTACCTTTTTCTGCGAATTTGTGGATGGCCTCACAAGCTTTTGCCAGCACCTCTTCTTCAGGAGAGCTGAGCATAAGAACCGCTGTCGCTGCTGTTTTGCTCTCGATAGGTAAAGGGTCGAACTGAAAGAATAAGACGTGTTATTAATTAAAAGTTTTTCATTAAAGTTATTAAAAGGTCGCGAAATATTTCAGGAGAGCCACGAGTGGAGAAAAATGTTCTCACCACATCTTTCGAGAATGGCTCTGCCTCTTTTTTTACTTTTTTCCCCATCTAGAGATCAAATACTTCACGGGCCTAAATAAAAGAACAATATTTAAAAACTAGTACAGAACACCGTTCAACAAGATAAATAATTAATATCTTAATAAATTATTTCTACAAAACATAATAATAAGCAACTTCTACAAAACATAAAAATACCAGCAACGCTGAAAGCAGTGTTTGGGTTTCTGTTTAGCTTGCTGCTGTTGCTAGGTGACAGATGTAACTTACCATTTCACCTGTAGGTGGGGCAAGAATCACTCCCAAACATATTTGGTCATTTATTTATTTATTTAAAATGTGTCGGTCATGAACCGTTAGGTGGCTCTGACGTAATAATTTATTAGATTATACACAAAATAATTAAATAAATCATCAGAAGAACATCTGAAAAATGGAGAAATTCTGAAATAACAGAAGCTGGTAACACTATTTTAAGGTGTCCTTGTTACACGTTACACGTACTTACTATTATAATAACAATAAAATATGCACAATTACATGCACCTAACCCTAAGCCAAACCCTAATCCTAACCATATAGTAAGTACATGTAGTTAATTAATATTACTCAGTACTTAAATGTATAATTACACTGTAACAAGGACACCTTAAAATAAAGCGTAACCCAGAAGCTTTTCCAGTATTTAACTAACACCAACAGCAGTAGCCTAGTAATGCCATCCCCATAAAACATGAAACTGTGGGATTGTCAGTATCATCTTGAATTTCCTCCATCTAAGATGACATGAACTGTCATTGGATCAGACCTGGACCTTCAGATGAGAATCATGTCCAGACTCATGGAGAGTGGAACCCACCCACTCCATGTTTGCTTGCTGGAATGAGGAGCATGCTGAGCAGTAGGCTGATCTAGCCTGGGTGTAACAGGGAGCGCCATACAAAGTCATTTGTACCATAAGACTATACATATGCAGCACATCCAGAGGCACCATGGGCTTTGATGAATTAAGCCATTCCTCAAGTACAATTAAAATGCACCTCTATCTATCTATCTATCTATCTATCGTGCTTTTACCTTTGTGCCAAATCAAATTTTGTTTGTGCTCGGCTTTTCTAGCCATTTATTATCTTCCCCTCTGAATCTAGATTGACCTCAATGAAAATAAATATTTGAGTTATAAATCAAAGCGTGTATGTGTGTGCTCGTTTTTGTGTGTGTGTGTTGTGTGTGTGTTGTGTGTGTGTGTGTGTGTTGTGTGTGTGTGCTCGCGTAGCTGTCAGTCCGTCAATCTGGCATTGCAGTGCGGATGAGCCGGATACGCCAACTTTAAGCAATATAGCTGACAAAATTCACACCGAATTCAGACTCGGACACGTTCCGCACTCGGAATACTGGCTGCGCCTAAAAATAAACACCTTTTCGGGGCAGACAAACGACGAAGAAAGAAAGTGGGAGTGGGATTTTGCTTGAGACATATTTGAAGGGTTGTTGGCTTAGCCTGACTGGGCGAGTTAGCATGCTAACGGAGCAGCGCCGCAGTGGATGTCTCGTCTCCACCCGCTCTTTCTCTTCAAATTAAACTGACGTCGCTCAAATTACATTTTATTCTTCATTTTCAGTGGTATCGGTCAGTATTTGGTTTGTTTTTTCTTTAAGCGAAGTGTTAGAAAAGCTCCCGAGGGGAGATTGACTTGGCAGGCTAGCTAGTTAGCAAGTAAGGAGGGCTTACTAATGAAGTCTTAAGGAGCTTTTGCAGTTTACGGACGAGAACTTACAAATAATACGGCTTTTTGCTCTGAACTTTAATGTTATATGTAACAGCAGACTTTTTGTAGCACATTTGGCGAGATATTCATCTGTCTAGCGATCTAATAGTTGAGTTGGTACAGCTAGCTGACTGCGGTTAGCTAACTGAACGTTATGCCAAATTATATTTTACTAAGACAGTTAGGACCCCACTAGCTTAATTAAAACACTTGTCACTGTGTGATAGTTAATTTATTGTTATACAACAAACAATGGCCTCGGCTGGTAACACTGTCTCATCGTTTGCGAGCAAAACAAAAACGAAGAAGAAACACTTCGTGTGTCAAAAAGTGAAGCTGTTTCGTGCCAGCGACCCTCTCCTCAGTGTTCTCATGTGGGGAATAAACCATTCGGTGAGTCAAAATCTGCTGTCTTTTTCTTTGTTTGTGTGCGTTATTGATCAGTGCATTAGAGTTAACGAGAAAAAAGAAGTTCAGCATGTCTCGCAACCGACAATTGGCACCATCTGTTGGGTTCATGCACTTCATGACCATCAGAGGTCTGCTTTGATTTTCTCTTGCCTAACCTTCAGTTTAATGGACAACATTCTGTTTTGCTCCTTAAAACACTTGCAGTTGCATACTAATACGTTCCTTATAGCATGAGAACAAAACCTGTCAATGTTTATATAAAGAATTGTTCATTTAAGGTTATTGTGCTTGTCGAAAAACTTCTGCAAACGTGATCATATTGATGGAAATGAGTGTAAAACCTTAATTTGAGGCTTATACAGTAATGAATCTTATTTGTAAGGTCTCTGTGTCCTTTTATGTGCATGCAAATAGGTTGCAAAATAATATCTGTATGAGTAGTGGAGTTGTGGGTGAGTAATCGTTTCCTGTTGGAAGTTTTGGTTGCGAGATGATAAGCTTAGAGGTTTGCTGAAGCAAGACTCATCTCAGCTGACTACTGACTGTTATTGCTTGCACCATTATCTGTCTTTGGAGAGGAAAGCCTTGCTGATGTGTTTTTCTTATAGGCTTATGCAGTTCAGTTGGGAGTGGTTCATGTTCATATACTTGTGGGTCTCCTTGACTGTACTTTGAGATGAAGAATGGCAGTATTTGCTCTACAGATAACAAAATCATTCAGATTTAGATGCCTTTATGTGTGTCCCTTTGGTTGTCCATTTATGTTTGGTGTGACAGTCTTCACCTCCTGCTTAGGGATATGCCAGTATCAAATTTTCATGTTGCGATTTATTGCTAATGCTTTTATTACGCTATACGGTATTACCACAATATTGAAATTAAGTAAAAAAAAAAAAAGTGCTGTCATAATACAGTATAACAGGTTTAATAACTTTTTTTCTTATAACAAAAATAACTGAACATTTAAATGCAATAAAGCAATACAGAAAAATGTATAAAGTTAAAAGTTTTACACAGATTAAAGTGCGAAAGAACTATAAAGACCAATAGGTATCACTTTACAATAAGACCAGACTGACCTCATTAGTTAACCTTAGTTAAAGGGTTAGTTCAGCCAAAAATGAAAATTAGGCTGCGTTTTACTCACCCCCGATGCATCCTAGGTGTATATGACTTTCTTCTTTCACGTCATTTGAACTGAAGGAATGCAACACCCGCTGAGTACAACGATAGAGCTTGAAAGATCAAAGACAATTTTTAATATAACTCCGACTGGATTCGTCTGAAAGAAGAAAGTCATATACACCTAGGATGC